TAAGATAGATAATGGGGTAGCTCTCTGATGAGCCCATTCCTTCTCTTTTCTTTCCTCCGGCGAGCTCTCAAAAATCGATTGACCCCAATTTGAAATTCAGTTGACTATCATTTAGCTAATGCGATTCAAAATAATGATTTATAGACCAATTTCACACTATGAGTCAATCACCGAGAATAACCATTTAAATTGGCAAACAAACTTTTCTCCGCACTCTCTCCGATCCATATTAATTAACGCTACTTTAGTACATCTTTGTACTAAAGCTGACCTGAGGTAGCGTTAATTAATTTGTATAAGAGACACTAGTAGAAAACGGGCCTTTAGTCCCGGTTCTGGAACCGGGACTAAAAGGTCGGGACTAAAGCCCAAAACCTTTAGTCCCGGTTCACTTATGAACCGAGACTAAAGGGGCTCCACGTGGCCGCTGTCTGGAGCTCCACCTTTAGTCCCGGTGACTAAAGGAATTTTTTTGATTTTTTTGGAAAACAATTTGATTTTTTTTATTTTTTCCCTATTTTCAACTTGCTGAATTATTTGACAATTTAATCTCTGACCACCCATCATCACTGCTCAAGTGTCCGCACTCATTACAAATCATCTAACTTCCCGGCCGGTCAACCATCCTTTCACTACTCCAGCCTGAGCATGCTTAACTTCCGAGTTTTATTCCTCCTAGTTTTCAAGTCTGCACTTGTTGTTTTACTGACAATAATAAGTTGTCAATCCTATTAACCCTTAGGAGTTGAACTTGAGCATGAAGTCACGCATTTCATCGTTTGAGTTTGAAACTATTATTCTTAAAACCAATAATTATGTAGTAACAATAATATTTCTTGAATAAGTAGTTTGACCATGACCAGAGTTTGACCAAAAATTCAAAAAAAATATAAATTTGAGCGTAACTTTTTTTCCTTTCAGAATTTGAGGATTCTAAAAAATTGGAAAATGGCCTATGGCCGTCGAAATCGGAACCGGCTTTTCGTGTTGATCATTTTGATATATTATACGTTTTTTCCCGACATCGTATGCAAAAGTTATAGCCATTTTACTTTTCATAACACTTTTTTGCAAAACACGTCCAAATTTAAGTTTTTTAATTTTCCTAACTAGTAGATATAGTAAAATAACTACATCTCGAAGGATTTTAATTTTTGAAGTTTTCATCATTTCCTTTTTCTTCAAAACTGAAATGGCGATACATGGGAGGGGGGGGGGGTAGAGTTTGAACCCCTTTAGTCCGGGATGGTGTCCATCCAATCCGACCGTTGACTACATCTGCTAGCACTGTCCCAGCCAGAGTCACAACTAAGGTTAACCAAGCCAGAGTCACGTTCTATTAAAATGGCAAAAAGAATTACTTTTTAATATAGCAAAACTAATTCTATCAACTATTATTAAAGGCTAAACAACTATTAATACAAAACAGTAGCAAAATTACTATTAATAGATCTTACTATGACAACAATCTAACATGTCACTAGGAGCAAAAAGAATTAAATTAAAAACTATTTTTAAACTCAAATTATTCACAATCTAGGGTTTGAAGCAAATTTGAACAAATTCATATTTAAGTCATTCAAAATTGAAAACTAATGGACAAACATAAACTAGACAGAATTTTGAGTCTAATGCAAAAAGAATCACTCAAAAGCATCAAATATCCTAAAAGATATAAGCAATTTAAAACAAAAATTAAAAACAAAAAACAAATTTCAGAACCCCTTTACTCGCACCCTTTAGCCCCCGTTGGTGTCTCAAACCGGGACTAAAG